TTTTTTTTTTTTTGCTACTGTCCTTGTTAATCCAGTGTTGCACAGTATCTCTTATATTGTGACCTACATGTTCCACAGGCTGCAACAAAGAAGCAAAAGTATGAAAAGATTAGTGAAAAGAAAATGTCCACTCCCGTTGAGGTTTTGTGTAAGGTAAGAGTTTCCAAGTGATGTCATACTGTGAAATGGAAGTTCTTTTCTTTCTTGTTTTTTTAAAACTAGAGCCAGTATATTAGTCTCACATGGCATTTGCTGCTGAATAATACTTCCCTGGCAGTCATGGGTGCCTTGTGTTTGGCCACCCAGCAGGACTGTGAATGTGTGTAACAGGGCAGGCATTCGCTGCTGTTTCTTGGAGTAGCTCATGCCACCATCATTCCAGTTCTTGGTGACTGTTGGCTGTGCAAGTTCTCCAGCTCTCTTAGGTGAGGCTTGTTCATTTCTTCAACTTCTACAGTGAAAGTTCTACATGTGCCCTCATGGATGAATAAAACCAAGGTAGAGCTGTATAGCTTGCCTGTATATACTTGTTTCTGCCTCTTCAAGATTGTTCATGTTGTCTTCTGTATCTCAAATAGAGGCTGTAGTGGAATTGGATGTCAAGTGATCTTTAAAGCCATGTTGCAGAATGATGTTTTTCCAATGCTATCCTTTAGGTCTTAAGATTTCTCTTGAACTGTGGCAGTCACATGCTTGTTAAGAAAGGTCCTTGAGAACACGTGGTAGTTTTTGCACATCAGACAGCAGCACCAAGGATTGCACTTTCTAGTCATGCACATTTATATACACTTACAGTCTGACAGCCTCTTCCAAACTGCTGACCTGTTGTACCCTGTGTTTTCTTTCTTGTAGTGCAGCACTATGCTGTATGCTATTACGTATTTACATGTAGGCTTTCATATAGCATTAAATGTATAAATATGTAAAGCAGGGAATCTTTGAAAGAGGTTTTCATGGTTTAAGTCTTCACACTTAATAGTGGTAACTGACCTTGCTTCTAGTATGCTCAAGTAGATTATCAAGGAAACATGAGTGGAATCTTTAGAGAAACAATTACTACTTATTTCAGAGACCTAGTTAATAAGAACTAGGTTTAATTAGGATGAATGAAGTGCTTTAAATATGTTGTATGTTGAAGGTTTTGGTAGCAGAGGACTTGTGATTACAAAACATGCATCAGGTAACAATTCTGGGGAAGGAATGTGTACCTGGTAACTTGCTGATTAAATCCACTTTCTGAAATACAGGATAAATGAAGACCTAGAGGCAAAGTGGAATTCACACTTAGGAATCTTCAGCCAGTTTTTCTCTGCCATTATAGACAGAAATACAGCTTTTTACCTTCTTACAGGGTTGTTAGAAGTTTTTTGCTGCAAGCCATGGCTTGATGATTAACACTGTTGATTTACAGGGATTCCCTGCAGAATTTGCCATGTATCTGAACTACTGTCGTGGCCTGCGCTTTGAAGAGGCACCAGATTACATGTATCTGAGGCAATTATTCCGTATTCTTTTCAGGTCAGTCTCAAAGTGGAAAAGTACAGAAATTTGTCAGTGCTTTACCAGTTGGTAACTGCTCTGTGGGACTTGCACTGCAGAAAGCTGCTCCGTATGTGTGTCGTGTAGGGAGTTCTGGGACTTTCTTTCATTTCAGAGTTTGAAAAGCTGTTTAAAGGACCTGAAAAATATTGTTCAATGTTAAACTTGAAGGAAAAGATTCTCTTGTTTTTACGTTGCCTGATCTGACCACCAATGCTAGAGGGTTGAGCCCATGCTTCCAGTTCTGTTGCAAGTAGCTTAAGAAATTGACCCCTCGGTAGAATTGTTTGAAGCTTTTTATATTTGGAGATTGGTGATGGGGGACTAGCAGTGGTGCCCAGGAGACGGATTTCAATGGAGGGGAATAGTGCTGTTTCATTGAGGTTGTTAGAGAAACCAGAACCATAAACTCAACCTTGTGGAGTGAACAGCATCTGTCAAAAGAAGAGCTGGTACTGATCTCTCAAGAGTCTACCTCCAAGTTTCTGGAATCCAAAGCAATTTTTATTCAATGATCTACAATACTGCAGTCTCTCCTTAAAACTATATATATTTAAAAAAAAAAAAGCTGAGAACTTCAGTACAGACAAATGGGTAAACTGGGTTGTGAGGAAGTGCTTCTACAAATGCAGACTTTTGCGTAAACAGTGAAGAAAATGCTGCTTCATGGTATTTGGGCTTGCTTCGAGAATCCCTTTAAGTTAGTAATACTTAGCATTTATATACCATTCATAATCTCCAAAGCAGCTTACAAAAAGAGTTAACCTCTAGTTCTGGGTTTTCAGCAAAGGCTTGGTATTAGCAATAAGGAAGTTATGATGTGTTACAGTAAAGTATTTCACTCTTTTCTAGGACCTTGAACCACCAATATGACTACACATTCGACTGGACAATGTTAAAGCAGAAAGCAGCACAGCAGGCAGCCTCTTCCAGTGGGCAGGGGCAGCAGGCCCAAACCCCCACAGGCAAGCAAACTGACAAATCCAAGAGTAACATGAAAGGTTAGTAGCCAAGAACCAAGTGACGTTACAGGAAAAAAAAAATTACACTAATTTGGACAATGTCAGCAATTTAAGTGTTAGATCAAGGAGGTGGTTTAAAAAATATATTTGGCTGTTAATTTAAAAAGCAAAACCAAAAGACGTCCTTGGAGAATTTGACTACTAACTTTATACCAAAATGTCCTTGTTCTTCATATCATTTCTTCTGGGGATGTTGGGTCATTTTAACCACTGCATCTTTTGCTCCCACATTAACCACTTTCCAAAAACAAGAAACTGACTTGGTGTTGGGAATGTGACATTTTTATTTATTTTTATTTATATATACATATATATATTTTTATATATATATAAATATATAATACAATCCAAAATCCTAGACCTAACACTTCCTAAGGGATAATTCTCATTAACTAGGCAAGGATCTAGAGACTTTGGGTTCTACTCTGTTCCAGCTGGTATAGTGCTGTGGGTTTGCTTCTGTTCTGTATGCCTCAAATATTGGAAACAGAAAATTGTGGATGATCTGGCTTCCTCCAGTGGGTTTACATTGAGACATTTGGTCCAGAGTTAAAGGAAAGGACCAGTGAGCTCAAAATGTCTTGCCTAAATCAAGGAGTAACCCCAAACTGCTGTGGACTGCCAAGTCACAATTTTCTGAAGTATCTGGATGCTCTGGGGTGGGGCTTCAGGTTTCTTGACTATTTTTAATGTTTCTAGGTTATGGTTTCAAAGGGAAATGTGAAATGTTCAAGATGTAATTGTGTAAAAACTGAAAACTGAGTTCTGAAAAGGCAGATATGATTTTTTTTACATATTCTAGAAGCTTTTTAAATTTTTTTTTGTGATGTAAATCTACCAGTGTTAGTCTAGTCAGTCTCTAGAATGAAACTGCTACAGCAAGTGACTATTACAGCCAGTCTTGTAATGAAACTGATTCTTCAAGATGAGCTGTGGATAAAATTGAAGCTAGTGAGGCTGTCTGAGTGAGAGTAGAGAAGCTAGGTTTAAGTTATGTACTTGGGCATTGCTAGTACTTGCTATTCTTCAGTAAGTTCTTGTCTTGACTATCATTTTTATGTGTATAAAATTATATATTAAGCTAACATGGCAGACTTGGAAGTCAAAGAAATGCAGAAGTTTGCAATAAACTTATCAAAACATTGTTTTTCGTGTATTGTGGCAGCATTCAAACATTGCCAGGTGGCTTTAGTCAAAATAGCTATCCAAAAATATAACACTTCATCCAGAAAAATGAAGAAGTAAAATACCTGCTGGTCTTCCCAAGATGCAATCTGGAATGGTTTCTTGAAGGAAAAAAAACTTCCACAGGATACCATTAGATGTCAGATTCTTTGTGGCATAAAGAGTCCAACTTGTTTTGCTGGAGCTGACAGGTGTTACAACACTGAAGGCTGTAAACCAGTTCCTTCAGCTGGAACACCAGTACGTAGCAGACTTGTAGCAGTCTCCTGATAGACTAAGCAATCTAACAGGCTTAGATTGCTTCCCAAAATACAGAAGCTCTGACTGGAGTTCAGAACCCACTACTGAACCCAGCGCGATGTTGGGGTGTGGAGAGATTGGCTGTTAGAGCAGGAGGGAAGGAAGTAATCTGGGCAAAAATGTGGATTCTTCACAATGGCTCGTGCTTAAAGTGAAGGTCTTAACAGGAGGTGATGGTCTGTAAATGGATGCTGCTGTAAAAATCAAGTTGTATGCACTTGAAATACTGTTTTGCCGGTGAAGTATTCTGAGGTTTAATGTGCTACTCTTCTGGCTCAGGCGGTGTCTGACCAAGTGCTATACTGTAAGTGAAGAAAAGGTCATTATAATGATTATCTGCCTCCACCTTCTAGTGATGATTTAGTGACAGAGTGCAAAGCTGCAGCTGACTGACAAGCACGAGTAATGGGGAAGCTGTCTTGCAGTTGAACCTTAATAGACCATTTCTGTTTCTTGATGGACATTCCTCATCGCACTGCCCTCTGGTAACGAGGCCCATCGCTATAGCTATGGAGAAGTTGCTGTTTTTCTAGCAGAATTTCATTGGCTCTTGCACGGAGTAACAGCCTTTTAGGGGAATGACTCCCTCTCCCCTCCCTATCACGAAGAAAAGGCTTGTGACCTTTGGATCGATCAAGCTGTAATGTCAGCAAAGCATTAAAGTAGTGTTTGTCAAACATCTGAAGACTTCTCCACCTTCCTAAAATAGTTAGCTTAGTCTCTTCGTCAAAGTAAAGATTCCAGATTTCTAAAATCCTAAATGCCTTTTTGTGGGGAATATTGCCTGTTAATGAAGATTTTTTCTGAAACCAGCTAAGCTCAAGCTGGAGGCTGTATGGCTTATGTTGCTGTCACATTGATGATTAATGAAATACTTGGTTATTTTTTTCCAGAGTTCAGTTAAATTCTCATGTAGCTGCTGTAGCAAAGCCTATGCTGAAGTGGCTTAAAAGGCTTCATGGTATCAAATTATACCCCTCTGGTAACCATATCCAGTTGAACAAAAGTACTGGAAATAGCAATTTACAGGTGCATTTATTGGTTAAAATCTTACAGTATACTGTATAAAGTGCTATTGAATATGTGCATCTGGGGAGAGTGGTGAAATCTTAATTCTTTCAAACAATGTCCAGAGACTTACATGACTTAGATTGTTTGGATAGTGTGCTCATCTATAGATATTCCTGGCTGCCTTAACTTGGATCCATATTAAACCATCTCACTGAGTCCTATAGGTTATTCAGGCTGAATATTCTGTTTGTTTCCAGGGTAGCCTGTTCTGTCAATGGCCTTTTTCTCTTTTTTTTTTTTTTTCCCCCTGTCTCTCTGTGGAACCCTGTGCAGTGTCTTTTGTAACAGCAAGATCAGCTGTTTTTGAACTTGGGAGAGGTGAACTCTTTCAACAGACAGAGCTTCTCTGCTGACTCTGGGAAGTTTAGCTCTTGATCTCTTGACAGTGCAGCAGCTGTTCAGGTGTGATTTGTAACAATGCTTACAGTCAGCTTCCCTCAGTCATAAAACTGACTCAAGCAGTCAGTCTCCAGGATAAAGTCTATCAGTTCCATTTGTGAGAGATGTTTTTAATTCACTTCAGTGTAGAGTTCTGTAAGTCTGTCAGCAGTTCCATTAGCATTCACTGGACACCTATGGTCGTGGCAGTATTTCTCAGAACAGACTATGAATTCACTACTTGAGATTTAGCCAATTGACAACTAAATACTTTTCACTGCTTGTCTTTGCAGCTACTTAATAGAGAAAAAGTTTGAACACCTCTCAAGTAGAGGAGCTTCCTAGAGTATGACAGTACAGTTACTCTTCTCCCATTGATCAGATCTGCAGCTATGGTAATAATAAAGCAATTTGAGTATCCCTCATGTAGCATAGAGATTATCAAAGTTTTGGGTAACACCCCAGAGGAACAGGGAGTGATGAATGTGCAGGTTTGAGCTGGTCCTGTATATAGTGAAGATTTGTTAGAGAGATGCTGGCATAAACTCTTCAGCATGTTCTTTATTCTGGCAAAGTCTTGTGCACTACATGAATGTCTCAACATCTCATTTGACAGCTGCGGTTGGGCTGTTTGGGAACACTTCTGTGCAGTCTGAATAGGACTTGCAAGGGATGTTGTGGGTTGAATCCAGTAGATTACAGAGAGCAACATCTACTGAATCCAGCAGAGTTGGGCATTCTCTTGCCCATAATACCTTGGATTTGAGGTATTCTAACAAACAGCAGCATATCATTTGTTAGCATGTCCTTTGTCCTCGGGTTCAGGATCCTGTTTTCATTTGAAATGTCCAGGCTTCTAAAGCAATGAGTTGATCTGTTTCTTTCCACACTGGGAACATGCTCCTCCTTTGTTGACTTAGTTTTGGCTGCTTTGATGGAGAAAGTGGTTCAAATGACGAATCAATGTTCACTGCTGAACACACTAAATGGAAAAACAGTGTAACTTTTGGTTGTATGCATCAAGTAAGGGTTATGGACAACTTTATGCCAGTGGAACTGAGGAATCCCTTGGGGTTTCTGTGTGAATTTGCACTCAGCTGGGAATGACTGTCTTAATTCTGGTGCAGGATTTTTTTTGTTTTTAGAATTGCTGGTGCTGGATAAAGAGAATTGTCCTTCAGTGCATTAAGATTGGGTTTAAACAAAGCTGTTGAATCTCTTCTAAATTACCTGTAGCCCATTCTGGAAGAGTTAAAGCTGTCTTCTGGGTACTATCCGGATACTTTTTTTTTTTTTTTTTTTTTTTTTTTTGATTGAATGTCAGGCTATGTTTGTCAGGCTATGTTTAAGACTTGTTTGCACTTGCTTCTGTCTGGATGACAGCACAAGCTATAGCTGAGGTCAGCTTTATCTGTATTTCACTGTGAAGAGATTTCTGTTGCAAAAACTCAGAGCTGTTGTTCAGATGAATTCATACATCGACAGAATACTGTGCGTTCAGAGGGCATCCGGAATGGAAACTTGCTTGGCAAAAGTAGTCTTTGGTTGAGACTCCTGTTATCTCTTTAAAGCACAGTGCTACTACCTGAGTCACCAGAAATGAGTATATAAGCAGTCACATGAAGAGAAGACTGGCTTAGCTTGCAGTAACTGGTTCTTTGAGATCTATGTATGTATTCCTTTACTCCCTTTTCCACAATGTCTTGAACTTGTCATTTGGAGTACTGAACTTTAAAAGAACTGTTCTTGACGCCCCACCTCCCCTGTCACATGAGTTGTTTCACTTGTCCTTCCAAGGACAGAAGGTATGCTGGGTTCCTAGTCACTGTCAAAGGTTCTCGCTTCTGTTCTGGTTGCCCAGAACGTCGTACATGTGAGCATGTAGTGAACACCAGTTACTGTAAGGTAAGTTATTCCTGTTCCTTTTCCTTCTGTCTGTGTGATACTGCTGTACTGCGTCTCTGAAGAGCACTACTGCAATCAGATGACAGTTTGACATTCAAGGATATAAACACGAGACGTTGCAGACAAGTAGAAAACAATCCTATGAAATTACATCCTGCTTCCTAGTGGCAATAACACATCTTGTTTTCAAACTGTTGGTCTGAATTCCTATTTGAAGAATGTGGCATCCAGCTGGTACATAAGCCTGTTTTCCAGTGCAGCAGTAGGTGTGAGTGAGAGGTGTGTGTTTGAGCTAAAGGGTGGTGGCAAATGCTGGTTAGCTTTGGAAATGGATACCAGGAACTCTGCAATTCTGAGACGGAGCAGCATTTTCCCCTTTGAATGACCATAACTGATGTTTAATTCTCCTACTGTGAAGGCTGTTTCTCATTTTCATCCTGTATCAGTAAGTTGCCCTTGTGTTTATCTTGCAGGTTTCTGAGCATGGCGAGGATGGGACAAAGCAGAGCAGATCGGAGCAGGACTTGTCACTCCCCAAATCCTAGAAATTTTAGTTCATACGTACACTTGCCAGTGGCTGTGGGCAACCATTTACTTGGTGTAAAGAACTTAATATCAGTATAAACTGGCTCTGGGCAGTGTCAATGATGCTGCACTTCGAGTTGTAGCAGCTGTAATTGTGAATATTACTGAGATAGTGAAACATGGTGTCCAGTTTTCTATTGCATTTTTTTCAAGTGGAAAAGTTAACTAATGGTTGACACACAAGTGGAGAAAATTGTGCATATGCCAATTTTTGTTACCTTTTTACTTTGAACTACACTGCTTATGAGATCTCATTGTTTTGGAAGAATGGCATGAACAGTCTTCGGCAACAGTTGTGATAATTGTAAATGCTCACAATTGTGCACTCTTTTCTGGTTATTCCTCCCTGGGTTTTGAAAGTTGTACACTTAAAACATTCTTAAAGTTGTTGGCTTCTATGTGCAACATACCAAGCCAGCTGACATGGTAGTAACCAAAGATTCCAGTTTTTAAGCGTATGAAAGACTCTGCCTGCTTACCTGTGCTAGAAATAACAGCATCTAAAGTGAAGACTTAAGAGAAACTTAGCGACTACTAGATAATCTTTAGGACTCTGCATTAACTCTATAATGTTCTTGGTATAAAAGGAAAAACAGCATATTTGTCACGAAATTTAGTTAACATCTTACAACTGAACCTGTATGTAAGTTGCTTAGATAAATGTAATCACTGTAAACATCTATATGATCTGGGATTTTGTTTTTATTTTGAAGCGGGAGCTTTTTTGTTTACAACTTCATTAAAAACTAAAAACTGTTTCTGTAAGGAAATGAGATTTTTTTTTTTTAATTTGCCTTGTTAATTCAGTTTAAGAAATCTACATTACCCTGTTTTTAAACCAAGTTTCGAGGCCATTTGTTAAGCAAAAGAAGTCATATTTCTTTCTAAACCATTTTAGATTTAGTGTTGTAACTCTTCCTCATTTTGTTTTTAAATAAATTTTGTATTTTTTCCTTGAGGGGGAAGGGGCAGTCTTGCATTTTTATAACTTGTTGTTTGAGACCAGCCCTCTATACTAAGATTGGATTTTTTTAAAGTGAAATGGCATCTTTTGCAGACCCAGTATTGGCAGCCTCCGAGCGTTGCCATGTCATGCATCGGCTGGACTGACTTGTGATTGCTAGTTTTGAGAAAAATTTGAATGGAGTATTTGGATGGTTTTAAACCAAGGCATTTTCTTTCAAGTTCTTGTGAAGTGGATATGACCAGATTTACTCTTGTTCTTGGAGACAGCCTCGCACCATGCAGAGTTCACATTGGTTACTGCCCCAGGCTGTCTTCCTTCTCACTCCTATTCTAGCCCAGCTGAAAGAAAGAAATACTTTTATTGCTGGTAATTCTTTAACAGTGTAATTTATTCCTTTATAGCATGTCAGAATAAATTAAAAAAATGTCTGAAAATGCTGCCAGATGCCTATTGTGTAAATGTTGTTTGTATGTTAGCTTTTTAGACAGTTACCATGCATGTAGCAGAGTTCCTGCTCACAGTTCATATTTTTACTGTTTGAAAAGGTCTTTCATTTTGAAAACTGTTTCTTCAAGATCATAATACCTACACTGTGCGCTCTCTGTCATCACGGAGTGGTAATCTGGATCAAGGCCGCACTCTCGTGCAGTCACTATGCATACTCTCTTTACGAGAAGGATCTGCTCCGAGAAAATGTTAAACTTTAGCTGGAGAACATTGTGTGCTAATAAACGTTTGTATAGATAATCTGGGAGTACAGGGAGGTAAAAAGTCTGCCGGGCTCCAGAGATGTCGGTGCACATTTGGAAACTTCTGAGTCGGAGTGGTCTCTCTTCTGTTACCAGGAAGGTGGAAGAGGAAACGTAGCTCATTCTTCTGGCTAGGATGTTTTTCTAGACTCTTGAGTATTGCCCCATCCAAATAAGGATGCTTTACAAGCAATGCCTCATGAAAACCGGTATGTTTCTAAGAACTGGTATCTAGAATACTATGTTATGTCCTTATATATGATTTCCACTCTCTAGGCAATGCATCTGAAGGGGAAGAAGCATCAGTGAAATGCCTTCTTGGCAGCTGTTTTCAGAGTGGCTGCTTGGAATTGTTTTGGCACTACTTTTCTTGCTTTGACATGAGATACTCCAAATCAGAGGAGATCATTTGGTTTCAGGAGAAGAAATTATTTTCTGTCCATTAAATTTACTCATGACTTTGAGGAGGCTTTGACATGAGATACTCAAATCAGAGGAGATCATTTGGTTTCAGGAGAAGAAATTATTTTCTGTCCATTAAATTTACTCATGACTTTGAGGAGGGTTGTCAAATTTTAGAAGCAAAACTGCCCTTGATAAGCACTGTAAGCCAGAACAGTTCATATGCTTGGAGTGTCAAAATGCATTGGTTTTAGTTTTTACAACTGCAAGCCTTGTCCTACAGAGGAGCATGGAGTCCAGTTAGTCTTTCAGACATGGTGTGTTAATAGAGTTTACTTCTGCACGGAAGTGTGAGTTTAAACTGTTGGCTGTGTCGTGCTGCTTTGCAGAAAACCAGCCTGCACCAGACATGCTGAACAACAAACAAGATGGCAACCTTCCTTAAAGAGATGCTGTGATACTGAACACTCATTTGCTGTATAATCTATTTGGTTTGTAACAAAGACTTAAAACTGAAAGCATTAAAAACTATGTGGATCTTGACTTCTGGTTGCAGCTCTGCAAAGGTTTTGTGTTGGGAGGTTTACTCTTACCTACTGATCTGATGCGAAGTCAAAAACTTCTGCAAGCTGTCCCAGGCCCTTTACCAGTAATTATCATTATAACAGAGACCATGAAGCACAAGAAGTACAACCTCATGCTCCCTGGAAAGTGCTAGAATTCAGGTAATGACATTAGGCTGTGACAACAGGTTCTTAATCATCTTACTGAGCTGTGTACAGGGTTTCAAAGCAATTTATTAACCTCCTTATAACAACTGAGAGGCATCCTAAGGACACCTTTTAAAGGATTGCTTAATTTGGAGTGTGGAGTGCTCCTATGCGCAGCATACTGGTTCATTATTTTTAACCTATTTAAGCCATTCCTTGCTACAAGCAATTGAGAGCCTTTTTCTCTCCTCCTATAAAAGTCTGAAAGAAGGGCAGGCTGCTCTAGGTCTCAGTTATTATAACGTTAGTAATGTCGCTCTCACTGCCTTGCCTGCTGTTCTGCGTGGTGGTGGGTATTGGTAATAAGTGATGAATTCAAGCCTTGGCTGTGTTGAAAACACTTGGTCTCTGAAAGCTAGATACATTTCTGGTAGGTGCGTCAAGCCTGTCCAGTGTGTGCCATCCTAATTTTTTTTTTGCTGATTGCTATTGAATTCTGTCTGTATGGGTGTTATTTTTCAAGCTTACATGTTGACTTGCTCTGCTATTGCATTGTTCTGCCTGTTCTCTCATTTGGCTTTTTCAGGTGCGTTGCTTACAACTTGCAGGAACTTGTATGTGCTTTCTGTGCTGTGCTTTTCCTAAAACAGACTGCAGCAGAGGTGAAGGCGCCTAAGTGGTAGCTGCGCTGCTTTGAGCAGGAGGTTGGGCTAGATGCCTCCCTGCAGTTCCTTCCAGCTGGAATTCTTCTGGTTTTGCATAAGGCTTTAATTTCTCCTGACAGCATTCTCCAATTTACAAGATTTGTTGCTTAGCCAGCTCCGTCAGCCCCATCTGCTCGTTACTTAATCGCAGTGAAATCATCATGATTTCATATCAGCTTGATGTCATAATGCAAGTTTATGAGCATGGCAGGCTCCAGACAAAAAGGAAAATGGGCTGGGAGGAAGAGCTGTCTGCTCCGAGCACTAATGCCTCTGGAAACATGAGGCGAGGGACGACGCAGAGGAAGTGCCCACCCTCCTAATAGGGCCTGAGTGGAAGGGCTGTGTTCATGGTGTGTTCTAATGTGGAAATGGCTCTTTAATGTGACCCTTGTTATCCAGGGCTAAACAGGAAGGGGGGAGGGTGGTACCAGGTCTGTATGCAAAGAATTGAGATTGACTGTTGTGCTAGGACACAAGGACGTTCATCGTTCTCAGCTGCATTAACGAAGCTTTTCAAAATAGACCCAGGACTGTGTTGTCTTTAGCTGTGAAGGAAAGGTGGTGTGTTAAGGGAAGGCTGTGCCCAAAACACAGGACTGTGTCCTTGTTTTTAAAGGAACCACAGTGGGCTCGGCTGCTTTGCAAAGCTTGGTGCTAAAGGTGTGAAATCTTTTAAGATGCTAACTTGACTTTTTGCATCATGTGAGATGTTCTTAGATGTAACTATTGCTAGTGCTGAATTCAGGTAGCTGGAAATTGGGAGGAGCTAGGGAGTATTCTCACACCAGGCTTGAGTGATTAGTTTTCCAAGTATTTTTGTCCATAAAATAACCGCGAAGGTGATGCAGCTCCTTTTTCAGAGAATAGCTTGGCATTTTGATATCAGGGGCTGCTTCTGGAAGTACCTGAGCACACGCAGTCCTAACTGTTCTGTTTTCCCTTCCCTCTTCAGGAGCCTTTTGTTCTTGTTGGTAATGCGGATTGTTTTTTGTAAATACAGCTGGTCTTAACTTCATTTCTTTCCCTCTCTGAGTTTGAAGGATAGCATCAATATGCATAGCTGGCAGAGAAGCTCTTTCAGAGCTGCTGTGTGCACTGCTTGTGTCCCAAAGAGCAGGCTCGGGGCTCCCTGCGCTGCTCCCTGTTCTCCACCACCCTTGAAATAACAGTGAGCCTTGAGCTACTTTGCAGGTGATGGACTTTGAACTTTTTTTTGAATGAAAGCAATTTGAGATCATTGGAAGACTTGGAAGAGTGTACATGCTGCCGTACAGGGTAGACTGGCTTTTGAGCTTTCCTTGTTGCGGTCAAAGCCCCTGTGTGTAATGATAAATGTGGACCTTACCCTTTACAGCCCTGCAAATACACAGGGCAGGTGCTTGACTTGGCACAATTCAGATAACTGGCAGAGGTGGGGCAGTGGTACTTGCATGACTCGGCTGTGCTTTGTGGGACCTCGTGGTCCACCAGACCAGGGGCACGATGAACATATCTTCCCTTTCCCTTCCTTGTACCTTGGATGTGTTGCTGTGGCACGTACTGATGCCAAAGAAGTGCAATGGGACTTTTCCAAATGAGACCATCAGATGTGTTTAACTGAGAACCCCTGGGGTTTAAGGCTGGTCTCCTCGGCATAGCTTACCCTGATGTCTGTCTGGCTCGCCCTCACTGCTGCACACACTTCTCTCATGGTGTTTGTACACCAACTGGTAACTCCGCTTCTTGGCAGTGTGGGTAATTTTAAAGATCCTTCAGCCCATCTCTGTACGACTACAACAACTGATGTTTCACAAATCCTGCTGTCCCCAAGCAGGTACAGTGGGGCTGACCCCAGGGCCAGCTTTTGGGGCTTGCAGCTGGCTCTGGTGTTCAAAAGCAGTTTCTCGTTGCTGGCCTGCAGCTGGACCAAGCTGGCTGGCCCCTGCTGATAGGATTTGCCAAATCTTCATCTGGTGGCGGCTGTAGGTAGGACTTCGCCCAGGCCGGGCGGAGATGAGCAAGGAAGCATTTGCCTGCCTTGGTGTCAGGCAGGTAGTGGGGGAGGAGAGCAGAGAGCTAAAGCTAGAAACTGGTGCAAGTCCTCTGAGCTGAGAAAAATCACTTAGGCAGCAAATAGATTTGGTCTTGTGTGCTGAAGGCTTCCCCCGGCACAGCTCTGACTTGGGCTGAGCTTGTTCCTCCTCCTCGGTGGCTGCTGGCATGGCAGCAGCTGGTGTTGGGCCAGGACTGTTTGCAGCAGGCGTGTCTGGGTCAGGGTTACCTGGTGGGGCGAAGTCTGTGAACAGCATCAGGAGTGTGTGTTCATGTTCCTTCGGGGCTGGCACTTGCATTACATGACTCAGACCTCGGGTAACCCCTGCTGCATGGCACTGTTTGAACAGCAGGTACGGCCAGAAATTCCTGCTGACTCACATCCTGGAAGTGCTCACCTTCCTTCCCGAGACCCCTTTCTTCTGGGGGAGGAAAGGCGAGGAACCCAGCTGTGGCCGTTCTTCCCTTGGGCTGCCCAGGAAGTATTAATTGATGGCTTTTATTAGATGGGCTTGTGCTACAATGGCCCTGCTGTGCTGCTTGTGTCAGGGTAACCGAGGAGCATCAATAAACTCTGCATTGCACTCCTGGTGTGGGAAGGGGCTGCTGTGCTAAAGCTGAGCTGATGTGGTTGTAGCGAGTTCCTGGCTGGCTAGTGTGAAGCTGTTAACAAATCCCATAAACTGATTATGGGCATAAGTCACTGCTCAGTGACCTTTCTCCCTCTCACTGACAGATTTTTACATTGCACTTCTTGACCTTCCCCGGACCTGCTGGCGGGGGGCTCCCAGCCACGGGGCAGCGCAGGTGGGATGTGAGCCGGGCAAGGAGCTGTGCT